CGGGAGGCAGCCTGGACTGCACACATGCCTCTGCTGACCCAGCCCCAGCCCTGGCGTCCTGGCCAAGGCACTGTGTGTGCTGGGCCACGCTGGGCTGTGAGCAGGCCCAGCAGGAGCGGGAACTTTGGGGCTGGCCATGTGGCCTGCGCAGGGGCCGCCCTCGGGGGGAGGGCTCCCCGAGGACCCTCCTGTCCTCACTCCCACCTCTCTGTCCTGTTCTCTTCTCTCTAGGAAACTCCCAGTTGCTGATAACCTTCCAAGGTGACTGGTGAGAACCACCACGCTCTCCCTACCACTGACCACCGGAGGCCAGCAGGCCCAGTCGCCAGGAGAGGAGGGAGGACGCATCCAGCTCTGTGTCCACAGGAGGACTGCCAGCCCCTCCGGGAAGCTGCTGGAGGGGGGCAGCATATAAAGCCCAGCTTGAGACCTGCTGAGGCCGAGGCCCACCCAGTGCACCTGAGGCAGCCCGCCTCCCAGAGCCTGTTTCTGGGCAGAGCCGGACACCACGCGGCTGCACGACCGCCCACACACTTGCACGCGGGCGCTTCCCTGAACAGGTTCGTCAGCCTGGCCTCGGCCCGGCTCTGGGGCCCGCGGGCCAGAGGCCTGCAAACAGGAGTCTCTGCAGCTGGAGGTTTTGAGGCCTTGCGGGGCAGAGAACCAGCCAGCCACCCCCTGCCCCTCCTCCTTCAGCTCCTTCAGGGCCTGGGCCCCACTGCTGACCTCTGGACAGGAGGTCCTTCTCAGTGGCTCCCCCAAAGGAAGACAGGCTGGCTCCTCTGCTGCCCTCCACCGCAGCCCACTGTGGCCATAGGAGGCGACGGCTCCTGCCCAGCACCGCGCAGCCCCGGCTGCCAGGACCAGCGCCAGCCCCGACACTCAGGGCAAGCGGCCCCGTGGCCCATTCCCAGCGGACCTGAGACTCTCCGAGTGGATGAGTCCATGGCAGGAGCACAGAGAGGGGCTCCTTGTCACTAGATTATACAGGGATCCCGACATGGCTCCCCGCCAACGGCCCCTGAGGACATGGGTCCTGGGAACAACATGCGGCAGAGAGCAGGCGGCAGCCCCACAGCAGCGCGGGCCCGGCAGACGGTGTCTGAGGATGGAGCTTGGCCGTGGTGACTCGTCTCCTGGCCCCGCAGCTCCTGAACCTTACGAACCCGGACCAGCCTTCTGACCGCCTGGGCCCCCTCTCCTATCCACTTGAGGGGCCAGGATCGCCTTTGGAATGAGGAAGGGTTGCGGCTGCTTCCATCCGTTAGTGACAGCGCTGTGCCAGCCCCAGGGTCAGGCTCCCACCATGGTAGCACGCGCCTGCCCCTCAGCCACTGGTCTCTTTGGACCAAATCCACGTTGGCCTGGGGCTGCGCGCAGGACAATGACTAACCCACTCTCTGAGGCAGACACTGTCAGCGTGCCCCTTAGATCACTTGTCAGCCACCGGACCTCCATGGAAGCGTGTGTGCGTGGCCCCGGGTGAGGAGATACACATGGATGCATGCTCTCGGGGCTGCGCCCTCATGGTCCTTAAAGTTGACTCTGTCCCCAGAATCAGTAATCCAGGGGAAGACCAGATCGGCCAAACTACAAAGACCTCAAGGCCCGGGGTGACCCTGGACCAGGCTCACTGTGACCCCAGAGCATCGCCCAGTCAGGCCTGGCCCCACACCCCTCAGCCAGGCCCAGGCGTCTGCCAGGCAGGTGGTCTCAGGCCCTGCCTCTCTCCAGCTGGCTCCTGGGCCTCACGGGACCTGCCCCCCTGCTCACTTTTCTACAAGCACTGGCTCTGCCAGGCCTGGGTCAGAGAAGCCCGCCCCTCCGCGCAGTGGCCACAGTGCGCAGAGGGAGCGTGTGCCAGAGGCAGGTGCGGCCTGACAGGTATTGGGGCTGCAGCGCCCAGTGTCCCCATTGAGGGTGAGACTTTGGTTCATTATTTCTGAGTGACTTCCTGGGACAGAAACCAAATTTAATATATTACACACTGCTGCAGGCACTCGTGAAATTATGTGCTTTAAGGTGTCCCCCCAAATGTATGTGGTACAGGCTGTTCCCCAAATATATGGTACTACAGGGTGTCCCCCAAATACTATATGCACCCAGCGTGTCCCCCCAAACGTACACACAGTTTAACAGCTGATACCTCCATTTTCACTCCTTTTCAGGTTAACGAATTTGACGGGATAGGTGACACCAGACTAAGCTTTGAACAAAGAAGATGTAGCCTCTGGACTTTCTTTTGGGGACACATACGGGGTGAAGGGTCTGGTCCCGCCCGGGCCACAGTGCAGGCATCCAGGGCCGCTGTGGACAGGGGATGCGCAGAAACACGAACACAGCGATTCTCGGTGTTTGCGGTTCCATTGCTTCCTTAGCAGCAGCGCCTGGACCAGACTACCGCGGCCATGGAGTCCAAACATCAAGAATCGCTCCTTCGGTTCGGGGTTTGTGCGCATCTCTTCCAGCAGCTGCCCTGGATTCCTCGCCTGCTGGGCGTTGGGTCCCTAAACTTTAACTTGTTTGTGTCCCCGTAGAAAGCCTCACGGAGAAATGTTCTTCATCCAAATCTTAGTCTGTCTTCACCCATTTCTTCAAGTCGGTTAAACCTGAATAGGAGTGACAATTAAGTGCTCTAGCGGTTGTTAAAGTGTGTACATTTTGGGGGGACACTATATTTCCACTCAGTGGGGTGCAATTTCCACCATGTGTCTAACCTTGGTATACCTTTTTTTGGGGACACCCTATATTTACATCCTGTGAGTGTCCTTTTCCATCTGACTTCTGTACCTGTATTTGCATGGAGTGGAACTTATTGTCCTGCAGCAGCCTCACCTCTTTATAGTTTTTTTGGGGATAGCATGTATTTGCATGCAGCAGGGACACATTGTCCTGCAGCAGCCTCACCTCTTTATAGTGTTTTGGGGGACAGCCTATATTTACATGGAGTGGAAACTTATTATCCTGCAGCAGCCTCACCTCTTTATAGTGTTTTGGGGGACAGTCTGTATTTACATGGAGTGGAGACGTATTGTCCAGCAGCAGCCTCACCTCTTTATAGTGTTTTGGGGACAGCCTGTATTTACATGGAGTGGAACTTATTGTCCTGCAGCAGCCTCACCTCTGTATAGTGTTTTGGGGGACAGCCTGTATTACATCAATTGGCGTCAGTCTTTGCCATGGGGAGTCGCACCTGCTGTCTGTCTGTGGCCGGGTGCCTGCATGCTCGGGTCCTATTGTTCCTGAGGTGCTCTTCCTGGGATGGGGGCGGCCTGGTGACGGGTTCTGGAGGAGGTTTTCCTTTGGAGCTCATGTGCTGAGCACTGACAGGCTTTTCTTCCGAGTGCTTGGAGATTGTACTGAGCAGCCTGTAGGGCGGATCCAGAATGGCTTGAATAAAGTGAGTTGGAGTAGAATTGAGTTTTTAATAAAGTGAGTTGGTGTAGAATTGAGTCCTCGTTTTCCTCTCCACGCATTACTGGCAGCGATGTCGGGGCTCCGCGCTCCCCGAGTGGGCCCCCAGGCTCCTGGGCCCTGGAATGCAGACCTCCCGGGGCCAGGCGGTCAGAGGATGAGGAAGGAGGCTTCCTGTTCACTAGGCAGCAGCCGTCCCAGTCCTGGGTGTGTTGTAAGCTCATGTGAGTTTAATCCATTTTGATTTGGGGTTTATAGCACAGCAGGAGCTCAGCTCCAGACCATCCTTTGGATTTTCCAAGCTACTCCACTGGGAAGAGGCAGAGGAGGGAGGGAGGCACCTGAGATCCCCCCGACCCACTCTCATGGCGGGCTGTCCAGCTGCCACCTGAGTGACCCTTCCTTCCTCACCAGCCTCTGCTGGCAGGTGCCTCCTCGCCCTCCTTCCCGTTCTTTCCCGTGGCCCAGCTCCTGTGGGAGCCGCACTCAGCGTGCGGCCCTCCCCGTGCTGGACCCAAACTGAGCGCAGGCCCTGCAGGCCGCCTCCCCTGGCCTGGGGCTGCTGCAGGGTCTGACCCTGGGAGCTCTCAACCTCTGTCCCTGACTCTCTCCCACCTGGGACAGCTCTCCCGGCTCTCACTGGCCAGCCCCTGGGCAACTCCCCATCCCTTCCACAGACACTCACTGAAAGCTTCCTGGGTTTTGGCTCCCGGGTTGCACCGTGCAGGCAGTCCCCCCACACCCCGCCCCCTCTGCAGGGCTGACCACCTGCTCCCCTAGCACTGACCACTCCTGAGCTTCAGGCCTGAGGTCGGCTGCCTCGGACCCCCTGCCCGGGCTGCAGGCTTCCCCCTCTCCCCCTGACTCCTCTGGGCTCCCTGCTTACCCAAGGCACCAGCTGTCCATCACAGAAGCCCAAAGCCTGTGGTGCAGGGGGGCCCCTCCTCTCTCCTCTTCCCACAGGTGGTAGCTCCCCTGAATTGGGAATGGGTCTGGAATCTGCCGCCCACTTAGCTGACTATTCTCATCCCAGGACCCCCGACACCCCTGTCCCTGGGTCTTGGCAGGGACTTGCCAACTGGTCTGCCTGCCTCCCACAGCTCCTCAGCCCCATGGCACCTCTGGGCATCCACCCAGTGACCTTCCTCTTTGAACTTCCCTCCCTCAGCCTCCACACTAGCTACACCCATCCCTCTGAGGACCAGGTGCTCCATGGGGCTCACCAATGAGTGCACCCCATCTGCTATCACCCCTCCCTAAGCCCCAGACCAGCTGGTGCACACCCACAGCTTTCCCTGCAATCTTCCCAGAGGCTGGGAGCACCTCTAGCCCAGGCCTCCCTGGAAGCCTCCAGACCTGTTCCAGCGTGGATGTTTAATGACGACAAAAAGGAAAGCTTCAGCCTGGTAGGGATGAGCCGCTGTAAGACCTCACCCGGGAGCCAGCATAGTCCCAGCCTAGGCGAGGTCCGCAGCCAGGACTGCGTTGCGTGGCCGGTACTGGAGGGCACACCCCAGAGGGGCTGGCTGCAGCCAGGACTGGCAGGTCCATTCTGACTGCCCAGGTCCTGTGCCGCCCTGTCTCACCTGAAGTCAGGGTACAGGGTGGCATAGGTGGCCACCTCGATCTTGATGGCACTGGGGTCCTGCAGGCGGATGATCTCGGCGAGTGTCGAGAGGGCGGGCTGCAGCCAGGTGGCTGGGGAGCCCTGTGGGCACGGGCCTGGTTGGAGGGAGCTGCCTGGCTCCAGAAGTGCCCCGGGCCCAGCAGGGGTCAGGCCAGAGCACTGAGCTGGGAGAGGCCCAGGGGACAAGGGCAGCCCATTGGGGGGGGTATGTGGGGGGATGGAGGGGGGATTTGGGGGGTCAGTGCTTACGTGCTGAGTGCAGAAGCGCTCGATGAGGTTGGCGTTGGCCAGGACCTGCCCGGCCATGTGTCTGCTGCTGCTCCGCAGTCCTGGGGACCAGGCGCCACTTGCTGTGCCACACGATGTACTCCTTCACCAGGTGCACGTGGACCAGCTCCATGAGCAGAGGCAGGGCCATGAGCCCTCCCCACGGAGCCACACTTCCCTGCGGAGCCGGCAGCCCCGGGCCGGAGTTCAGGGAGCACGGATGTCAGGGCCAAGGAGTGCGCGCACGCGGTGGGCGTGCCGCGCGGCGTGCAGGCCTGTTAGCTGCGGCCCGGCTGCATGGCCGCCGGACCAGTCTCCCGCCCCGCCCGCCCCACGGGAGCTCACCTCCTGCAAACACTCCCTCAGTTCCGAGAACTCGGGCAGCCGGGCCTCCACGACGGACACAACTTCCTCCAGAGTCTGCGCCGCGGCCTCCCAGCGGGTCTGTGTGAGCCTCTTGAACATCTGTGCCGGGAGGAAGGCAGGATGTCTGCCCGCCCTGCAGGGAAGGCTGCCAGCTGCACACACACTCACACACTCACACACACACACACACACACACACACACACACACACACACGCGCGCGCGCGCGCACACGCTCACATGCACACTGACACGCAGGGTGGCCCGAGGGCCAGGGGACCCGAGAGCTGGTGGGACCCAGGGCGGGACTCAGGTCACTGGCAGGGAGTGGAAGGGGGTCTGCGTACCCTTCCCCCAGGATGCCCGGCTGGGGCTCCTTGCAGCGCAGACTGCCTGCTGAGGTCTTTTCTCCCCCCCCCCCCCCCCCCCCGACCTAAATAAATAAATTCCTGCGTAAACAAGGCCGCGCCTGACTGGTGCCAAGTCACCTGGGTCAGGGTGCGGCCTCACGGCCAGCTGGTCACCCATGGCCTCCCACCCTGTCGCTGGGTACACGGCGGGCAGGCAGGGGCCCCTCCTGCTCCTCTCCGGGGACCCGAGCCCTCTGCTAAGGAACAAGGCCTTTCTGGGGGCTTCTTGGCCCGGCAGACATGGCGTGGCGGCGGCTGCCAGAGGCTCTGAGCATCACCGCTGGAGTTCGGCATGGGGACAAGCTGAGGGGGTCGGGGGTTGAGGGGAGTGTGTGCAAACTTGAGGACTAGAGGGGGCCGCTGAAGTTTTCCTGTGTCCTCCCAGCCCTGGGAGGCCCCTCTGAGGCCGAGCCCCAGCCAACATGGTGGGGGTGAGGGCTCGGGCTCGGGCTCACCAGCCTCTCCATACCCAGCCCCACACCGTGCCTCCCACATGGCAGCCTGGCCCCTGCCACTCCACCCACCCCCTGGAGGGCCACCCCCCTGGTGGCCCCGGGCGGGCGAGCTACCTTCAGGTCCTAGAACAGGCCCTGGAGCAGGGTGTCAAAGCTGTGGCTCTTGAGTTCATTCAAGAACCACAGGGGGAGATCTTGGAGGACATGGGGCGGGAGGTCACGCCAGCCCTGCGGGCCCACGGCCCAAACCAGAGCCGGTGAGCCCGAGGCCAGTCTTCCTAACCCCCTCCTTCCTCTGGAACCCGCAGTCCAAGTCACCCCATTATAACCCCCGGGGCAGGCCCAGTCTGCTCATCCCTGCACCCCCCCCCCGCCCCACATCCTCTTCCTAACTGAGGTGTGGGAGCTGCTCAATGGGCAGAATCACTGCCCGATGTTCCAAGGACACAATCACCATGGACCTGTGCCTGAGGCATGCCCCCACGGAGCAGTTCCCGAGGGGCAGGCCTCTCATCTCCACAGCCTTCCTCGCTTACTCCGCGGCTGTGCTTAAGCCGCTGTGGCCTCGCTCTCCCCTCCCCTCACCCCGCCTCCACACTCTCCTCTGCCTCCCAGCAGCCTTTCCCTCCAGCAAGCAGGCTGGTGCTCTGCTCCCACCCCTGCCCGGCCTCCCAGCCTCGCGGCCCTCACCCTCTCACTGGAAGGTCAGGCAATTGTTGATATTGGCCATGACATTGGCCCTGTAATTTCTCAGCTGTTTGCACCTCTCCAGAAAGGCATCAAAGGCCCGCTGGTAGCTGATGAGACAGGAAGGGGCGCTTGCGGGACCAGCACAAACACCGGACAGGAGCAGCGCCCGGGGTAACGGCGCCTCTCCCAGGGCGGCCCCTCGGCTTAGGGCGGCGGCTGGCCCCCGGCACCCCGCGGTCATGCCCAGCTCCCGGGCAGGGAGCTGCCGAGCTCTGGGAGGCTGGAGGGGGCCATGGGTAAACGGAGGGGTCCTCAGAAGTGGGGAGGTTTCTGCTCTGCGGCTGCCATGGCTCCCATGAAAAAGCTTGTGGCACAGGGGTAAAAAAAAGAAGCAGGTTCTGAAGTTTACGCTGGATGCACCCGCCCGCAGAAGATGGAATCATGGACGCAGCCAACTTTGAGCAGTTTCTTCAGGAGAGAATCAAAGTGAACAGAAAAGCTGAGAATCTCAGTGGAGGGGTTGTAACCATTGAAAGAAGCAAGAGTAAGATCACTAATAACGTTTGAGGTGCCTTTTTCCAAAAGGTATTTGAAATATCTCACCAAAAAATATCTGGAGAAGAATAACCTACAGGATTGGTTGCGTGTAGTTGCTAACAGCAGAGTTACAAATTGCGTTACTTCCGACAAATCTGGATGAAGAGGAGGAGGAAGATGAGGATTAAAGCCCATTTATCTGGCAAATTTTGTATGAGTTATTGAATAATACTTGGGAACAAAAAAAAAAAAAAAAAAAAAAAAAAGAAGTGGGAGGGAGGCATCCAGGAGTTGGGGATGGAGACTAGGCTGTAACTGAAGGGGAGCCCAGGGTCTCCGTCCCTCAGGGGCACCCCCTTGCAGCTGAGGGTGCTCTGTTGGGAGCTGTGCCAGTAGGGTGGGGGCCTCAGGGCCCAGGGCAGGGGAGAGGGCTCCTGTCCAGAAGGACAGACACCCTAGGGGCACCAATCTAGCCGAGCACATGGCGGAGGCTGCAGGCTCTCTGGGCATGCCTGCACACACCCACCTCCTCAGAAACGCAGCAAGCTCCGCCAGCAGCATGCTCTTGATCTGCTTGCCCAGGTCCAGTGTGATGCTCTTGGCCTTGGCCTCGCCCTGGGAGATGATCTGGAGGGAGCGGGTAAGCTGAGCAGGGGCCCAACTGGACCAGGGCTGGGGAAGGGGGGTCACACTGGGAACAGGGCGGGCTCGGAGGCGGCACGTGTGCACATCAGGGATGGACGGCGGGCTGTGGGCGTGGGCGGGCTGTGCCACCTGGATGATGTCGATGGTCAGCTCGCTGTGGCAGTGGCCGTTCAGCCTCTGGGGGGCCACATCCCAGGCCCAGCGCTGTGACTCCAGGTCCAGGGCTCGGGTCATCAGCTCCTTCATGCTGGTCTGGGGCAGGGACGAGTCAGGTCAAGGTCGCCAGGAACCCATCAGCCCTGGCCCCGGGGAGCCCTGTCAGGTTCCCGGTGTCCCACCCGCCCCGCTTCCTTCCTGCCCATCCCGGCCCGGCGCTGGCGCTGGCGCCCTCACGGACTCACCACCTCGTTGGATAGGAATGTGGCCTCCAGCAGCCGGATCTGCTTTGGGAGGCAGGAGGCTGCCCAGGTTGAGCCCCTGCAGCTCACCTGCCAGCGAGGAGATGTTGATGATGTCGCTGAGGGCAGAGGGTGCTGGCGTGAGGAGACAGCCGCCCAGCTCCATCCTGAGCTGAGAGCCGCCCCCTACCTGCTCTCCACTGCCCTGAGTGCCACCGTGTGACCCCATGACCCATCCCGGCCTCTGCGTCTCTGATGATGGATCCTCTCTCTGTTCCGGGAAAAAGCCTTGGCATCACCGTGCCTTTTTTTTTTTTTTTTTTTTTAAAATATATTTTATTGACTTTTTTACAGAGAAGAAGGGAGAGAGATAGAGAGCTAGAAACGTTGATGAGAAAGAAACATTGACCAGCTGCCTCTTGCACACCCCCTACCCAACGTACATGCCCCTGACCGGAATCGAACCCGGGACCTTTCAGTCCGCAGACCGACGCTCTACCACTGAGCCAAACTGGTTTTGGCATTACCGTGCCTTTTACTCTCTCATCTACTCAGGCTCCAAAACATCGCCACCCCTGCCACCCGCCCTGCCTCCATCAGCCTCCAGCCACCCAGCCCAGCCACCCCTTCTCTCCCCAGCTCACTGCCACAGCCTCCTCCCAGGCTCCTGCTTCCGCCTTGTCCACCGGCAGGCAGAACCTGCTGGCCGCCTCCTGCAAATCAAACCCCATCTCCCCTCTGTCAGAGCTACCCACTCTCACCAGCAGCAGCCTGGACCTGCCACCCCTCCCACCTGCCCTCCCTCTCACTCCCCTGCACCCCAGCCTGGGCCCCCTCCCTCCGGCCACCCGTGCTGCCCGAGGCCGCCAAGCAGGAAGGGCTGCTCACAGGGCCCTAGAGGCGGCTCCCTCACCCTCCTGGCACTCTGCGGGGTCCCTGCCCCCAGGGACACTTTCTCAGCCTTTGTCTGCGGGAGGCTCAGGGGCGGCCTCTCTGCCCCTCGCAGCGGGACGCCATGTCCCTGTGCTGCCTGCACTCCTGCCACACAGGCCCACAAAGCCTCCGAGCCCCCTCAGGGCTCCGGCCCAGCCGGCTCCGTTTCCTGCTGTCAACCCCGTGGGCCCGGCCAAAGGCCCCAGTCACCGGGACAGGAAGGCTGCCTGCCTGGCAGAGGTCAGTCCCCAGTAGTCCCCTGCAGTCCTCAGCAGTCCGCAGCAGTCTGCTGCAGTGCACAGCAGTCCGCAGCAGTCCCCTGCAGCAGCAGCAGCAGCGTCGCGGTGGCGACACATAGTCTCCAGCACTTCTTTTTCCTGTGTTTTGGTGAGGGGTTGCGTTACTGAGGTTGCCTTCCATGGAGGGCCTGGTACGTTCCTCACAGCGCTGAAGCTTTGAATCTAGGCAGTCTAATGCTGAATGTTGGGATCATAAGGATCTCACCATGTTCTGCACTTGTCCTCATGGGCACCGACTGGAACTGTAATATGCATGTCATTGATCACACAGCTTGGATTTAGACCTGCACTTATGGATGCCTCCTGATAGTGCTTTGGATGGCAATCAATTTGATTTGGCTGGCATCAGCTTTTTTGGTTGTGGATTGCTCACTAAAGGGCTGTTGCTTCAAGTGGAGAGACTTCCTTGCCAGCTATTTTCTACATGTGTCTGCATGTTGTGAGGAACCTTCATTTGCCCTGGGAATTTCTGTGCAAAATATTACCGTATTACTCACATACCTTTGATGTCTTGGGGTGCTACAGTGTGTTGTGAGAAAGGGCTAACCGTCACACTTCACTGAGTCCTGTGTATTTTCTCCTAGCCCCCCTCTCCCATTTCTACTGTCACAATTGACTGCAGAGTGCCCTTCATTTTTTACTAACTGGTTATTTGCTATTCTGCTAGGGAGCATTGAGTACTCATCACCTCAGACATGGTATGTGCCCTTCATTGTATATGGTGGAATTTCCTAGGATTACAGCCCCCCATTCTGTGTATCCTTATCATTTCCATGGACAAAATTTCCGTGTGTCAGCAACCCCAGGAGTTGCTCTCAGCTTGTTTGTTCTATGCATTTACTCATGCTGCCTCCCACCCACCCACAATGTACATTCACATGAGTTTAGTTATAGTTATGCCCCCCCCCACCCCCCTCCCCCGCACTATGGGTTGCAACGTTGGTTGTTGGCTGATCTGTATACACATGTGGGAGGAGCACAAAGGCTGTGAAGCTGCCAGGTTTTGGATAAGTGTATTTCGTCATGTGCCTGCCAGCCCCTGTGCGCCCCCCGCCCCCCCCCCCCCCCCCCCCCCCCCCCGCTGCCAACAAAAGCTTTGTCTTCCTAGGCAGGCGCTACTGAAAGCTGCTTTCGCTGTCCAGCAGCTGACTTATGGCACAACTCCCCATTGCTTTGTTTGCAGAATGCCAGTGTGCACTGAACTGTGTATATGTCATTTTACCACCGATGCATGGCTACATCCCCATTACAGATGTTACTTCTTCAAAAGTAGTGCCCGTTTCCACCCCTTGTGGTGATGTCCTCACACAAAGGCACACATGTGCAGCACCTTGAAAAACACTTGCATGCTGGCTCATGTATGTCCAGGCATGGTGTCCCTGATGCTGTCCCGCCTGTGCATTCCTTTAGAAAATCTGGGCTCATTACTTGTAAGACTACCAATGAGTGTGTATTAGGCACTCCCCCGGTATGTGAAGAAATGACTTCGGATGCCAAATTTCAGGGTTGGCAGCCAGTACCATGACGAGTAGATAGGCTTCCCAGCTTGGTTCGTAGTGTCCATTCTAGGAATGTTTTCTACCCATTTGTACCAGTCATGTTCTTTGCAGAATTAGTCCCGTAGGCGCCCTTGCTCCCTCCACCCGCCTCATGGACTTTCATGTCATGTGTTGTTGTGTGCTTGCCCATTTCCTCATTCTCACAGTACTCTTGCCTGGAATAAAAAGTTGTCAAATGTGTGCATACTTATTTTTTCAAGTTTTGTGTGTGCCCTCATCTTAGTTGCCCCAAAGGTTGGGGAGAGAGGTGTCCTGGATATTCTTATATAGTGTCCCTTACCATGAGTGTCTTTGCCATTATGGTCGCTGTCTCCGCCCCGCCCCGGCATCCCCACTCAGTTCTCATATTCCCCTTTGTGCATAATCATTGTCGTTGCAGGACAAGATTCAATTGAAGCTGCCTTTTCTACCCCATGGATGGATAGGCACATGAGTAGTATGAGTGATCTGTGCTGTGCCCTCCCCCCTAGGTTGGCCCCTTTTGTTCTGTTTTCACTAGCACTCCCAGTTTTCAGCAGGCACCCACCCACCCATTTTTGTGAGGGAGCCCCTGCTGTTGTGGTGAGCTGCCAAAGGTATTTCCTGTATGAATGTGTGTCTGGCACTCTTGCCAGCTCATAGTCAACATAGTGCTTCTGTCTGGCACATTTGCCAGCTCATGGTAAAGATTGTTTCCGCCTGGCATCCATGTCAGCTCATCATGTACATTCTGCTTCCGTCTGAGATGGATGCCAGCTCATTACATAGACCTTTTTTCTGTCTGGCATTTCTGCCAGCTCATCAGGCAGGTCTTGCTTCTGTCTGGCATTTCTGCCAGCTCATTATATGTTGTTCCCATGTACCCAGACATCCACCTAACCACCCAGGGAACTAACCCCCCCACCCCCTTACCCACCCAGTCACCCACACCCACTTAGCCAGCCATCCAGCCAGAAGACAGACAGCCACCCACTCAATCATCTACAGACCTAGCTGTGTAGCCTCACTGAGACCCCATTGCTTGAAATTCAATGTGGTGCCTTCCCTTTCCCTTCCAGTGCCCACCCTGCAATGCAGGGCGGTGATCTCAACTGTGCCATGGTCAGAGTCGCTCATTCATGAAGAAAGTACTGAATCGGCGGAGGGGCCGGGGGCAGAAAACCAGAAGGGCACGTGTGGCGCAAAGTCACAGGGGGTCTTGGGAAGGTACATGCAGGGCAAGGGGTTGGGGTGAGCTCAGTCTGACATGGGTTGTGCCGGGTGTCTGCTTCTTTTGTTTTATGGGCACTACAAAGCACTACATCACATTCCCTCCCTACTTGTCCATGGCACCCACCGGCTAGGGTGTTCAGCGGTGATTGCTGTGGTTTCAGAGCAAGGTGCACCTCCATGGAACTTTCTGCAATTATCCAGCAGTCCCAAGTAGCAGCAAGCAGCAGCAAGCAGTAGCAGCAGCAGCAGCAGCAGCACATACAATCTGTACTTCTTTTTCCTGTGAATTGGCGAGGAGTTGTGTTACTGAGGTTGCCTTCCATGCAATGCCTGGTCTTTTGCTATCCGTGCTCAACCCATGAAACTTGTCTGTTGCAAGCTTGGGAGATGTCATTGCATAACCTTAAACTCTACTTTCCCAACACTATGTCTTCTGCTGAGTCCTTAAGCCCTCTTGTCCTTCATTGCCATCATCCCCCAATAGTCACCAATTTTCTGGACTCTTTCATGTTCCTAATTGCTCCCAGGATACCTGCCAGGGAGGTTTTCTTCTTCCCCTTACTCTGCCGTGCTCTTTATGTTAGTGAGAACCACAACTTGGTAGGTACCTACTTTCTGGGAATTGCACTCAAGTTTCCTCTGAATGCTTCACCTTCTGACTCCTATCTCGTGCCTTCCCCTGTGCACAGTACTTTGCTTTGAGGCCAGGGAGAGTGGGTGTTTTCTCTGCTGGGTGGGTGGAATGGATTCTCCTACACCTGTCTTTTACCCTCCTTGCGCCCCATCCTCATCACAGAATCCTATCAAGAAACTTGCATGATTGCCCTCCCCCTACTCTCAGGTGTTTGCATGTCTCCTGCCTTGAGGGCATGCTTTAGTTCTCCTTAGTGTTGCTGCTTAACCTCCCTCATCTGCAGTGAGAGACGGTAAGGATATGTACTCACCTGTTGGCGCAGGTGGTAGAGAGGTCCAGGTTTCCGAGTGAGTGGTGTGTTGTGGTTCATCCTCCTATCCTGGATGAATTTCCAGGGAAGGCATTAGGCACGAGCCTCGGCAAAGTTTTTTTCTCATGGGGCATCCACCTGTTTCAAAGAGATGCATTGCCATCAATGTCTACGTTGTATCAAGTAATTTTTG